TCGTCCGGCTTACTCGGCCAGCTTAGAAAAGGATTCTTTCCATTAACGTTTTTCATACCCTTTTGAAACTTTAAGAGAATTTCCTGCTCACCTAACCTATCAGAGGGCCCTGAACTTACTGTTGTTGAAAAAAAAATCCAAATTTATATTATTTTTTTTTCATTTTCAAATTACGACCATATTCGGCCATACGGGCAAACGGCCAAAAGCGACGATCTTTTTAAGAGAGTAGTGTGACTGAGGCCATCACAGTGATCAAGTACGCTGGCGGATGCAACTTACCCGTTGTCGTAGGTAAGACATTGCCAAACATTCCAACCTGCTCGCAGGACAGGCTGCAGTCGTGCCATTTATCACTTAACGTATTGTGCATTAAAAATAAGTTTGTTCTTATTTATATATTAAAATTATGTGTATAGTTTGTCATAAGTTAGGCTAAGCGTTTTGGTTCTGTTGGCGCAACCCGTCAGTCCTCAGTCCAGGTTTGTTAAAGCGGCGGTCGTACTCCCCAGAGGCTTATATCAATGTTAACATATTGTGTTTTAAAAATTAGTTTGTTCTCATATATAAGTTAATATTATTATATGTTAAATAATAATATTTATAATAATTAAGTTCTGTTGTCAATTATTTGCATTTGAAGTACGAGGGCGAAGCATTTACAGAGTTGCGATACGCAAAGAGGTTATCGGCGAAGAAATATTTGACCAACAGTTGTGAGTCGTATGTAAAGTACTTTTAATTCATAAACAGGGGAGTTTGGCGGCTGGATTAACGAGCATTTGGTCTTTGTTGATGAGGACGGGTTGAAATATTTACAGCTGTTGTGCTTAAGGCATAACACATGTACAGAACGCTTGAGCTCAAACACCTGTAAACACAGACTCCACAAGATCTGATATCACAGCCTGGTACACGTGTATGTGTGTGTGTGTGTGTGTGTGTGTGTGTGTGTGTGTGTGTGTGTGTGTGTGTGTGTGTGTGTGTGTGTGTGTGTGTGTGTGTGTGTGTGTGTGTGTGTGTGTGTGTGTGTGTGTGTGTGTGTGTGTGTGTGTGTGTGGGGTCCGGCTGACGCTCTTCCCTTCACACATACAGGGTGAGGCGTATGTGTGTGTGTGTGTACTCATCTAATTGTGCTTGCGGGGGTTGAGCTCTGGCTCTTTGGTCCCGCCTCTCAACTGTCAATCAACTGGTGTACAGATTCCTGAGCCTACTGGGCTCAGGAATCTACATCATCATATTCATATCTGATGAGATATGAATCTCATCATATCTACATTTGAAACCGTGTATGGAGTCAGCCTCCACCACATCACTTCCTAGAGTTAGTTTTTAGTTTAGTTCATTTATTATGCACCCCATACCCATCCCGTGGGCGGTAGTGCTTCCTAGAGCACGCGATTTATTAACTACTCTGACACTGAAAAAATTCTTTCTAACGTCTCTGTGGCTCATCGTGTGTGGGGTCCGGCTGACTGTCTCTCCCCTCTTACAGGAGGAGCTGCAGACAGGAGGTGCGGGAGAGAGGTGCGGTACAGGGGGAGGTGTGTGTGTGTGGGGTCCGGCTGACTGTCTCTCCCCTCTTACAGGAGCTGCAGACAGGAGGTGCGGGAGAGAGGTGCGGTACAGGGGGAGGTGTGTGTGTGTGGGGTCCGGGTGACTGTCTCTACCCTCTTACAGGAGCTGTAGACAGGAGGTGCGGGAGAGAGGTGCGGTACAGAGAGAGGTGTGTGTGTGTGGGGTCCGGCTGACTGTCTCTCCCCTCTTACAGGAGGAGCTCCAGACAGGAGGTGCGGGAGAGAGGTGCGGTACAGGGGGAGGTGTGTGTGTGTGGGGTCCGGCTGACTGTCTCTCCCCTCTTACAGGAGGAGCTCCAGACAGGAGGTGCGGGAGAGAGGTGCGGTACAGGGGGAGGTGTGTGTGTGTGGGGTCCGGCTGACTGCCTCACCTCACTCACTAACTACGATGACTGCCCCACCGGTGCTCGCTGCTGTCTCCGTGAGTATACTTCATTATTTACACCGAGTTTACTCTTGCTCTCATAGTATTCTTACTTTGCCGACATGAGTATACACCTGATGCTTACCTACCTATACTCATAGAGCCTGTTTGAATATACTTCCAATGCCTGTGAGAATATTCTCATATTGTGTGTGGAAGTATATTGTCGACTAGATCATTGACTTCCTTTGATCTTAGGCGCCACAAATTATCGTCTCATTTCGTTATCAAATTAATTTATTTCATTATTCATTGTCTTACACATGCTGTTTCAATGGGATTTCTCCCCATAACTACAAGATGTATATTTGGACAGGTTCTGGACACGTGAGGGTGACGTAAGGTACTCCACGGAGACTATACAGGTCTTTCACGTGTTCAAAATTTGTCAACAGCGTCTCTCGTTAAAAGATGTTGTCCTTGAAGCGGCAACACTGCATCAAAATGGTTACAAATGGTGCTGCCCGCACCACTCTAGCTTAGGTGCCAGTATGGTCCTCCTTACTGGACTCGTGCCTAAAGCTGAGACTCTCCCATACTTGGCTGTTATTGATCAACAGAGAAGCTTCATTAGTTTGGTGCTAGGGCTGCGAGGCGAGGAAGGGTTTTAGAGAGCCTAAAGTTAGATTGTTCTACGTCGTCGCTGCCTTTTCAGCAAGCCTATTCTATTCTAATCTAACAACAATAAAAATATTTCTTGTTTTCAATATAATTTTATTAGTAAAAATGTTTATGGATGTCAAGTCGCAAAATTACAATCCATTACCTGACCCTAATACTCCCCTGACCTTACTGACCCCAGATTCTTTGTTATTTACCCGAAACTCTCCGCCTGGAAGTAGCAAAGGATTGGTGCACTTAAGAAAACTGAGCCGCCGCCCCAACAGAGAGTTGGGGCGTTCCCTCCAGCCCGCATCTACTCCACACACAAGAACCACCACCTCACCTGCTGATTCGTCAAAATGTCTCGTTAGGAACACCATCTCCTCCTCCTCAGGGGAAGGCTCACTACTCACCTGATGACTTCCTACTGGACGCCACCTCGAACGACAACACAGCAATGTCTACGAGAAGTAAGACGGTAACTTCTGCTACTTCCAGGACAAAGAAGAAGAAGAAGAAGTAAGAAGAAGATGAAAACAACTAAGAAGCCTGAAGAACGAAGACCAAAAAAGAATGAAAAAAAGACTAGCAACACTCACCATCGATTGACTACCATCAACTGCCAGCTGCTTGCAAGCCCAGTCCTGTGTCAGAGAGCATCCATAATAATTCCACGCTACCATCAACCCACAGCGTCAACTGGAAATCATTTCCACGGTGGTTGGGCCACTGATGTTTTCTTCTCCCTTCTTCGACTTGTCTCCAGCCCCTAGCTCAAGATGTCTGCATCCTCGCCCCTGCCTTCCATCCCCTGCTTACCTGCTCTAGGGTCCTTGGAACGGAATGGAATTACGGGCTATTCATGCCCGTGCCACCTCTTGGGTGGCTTAATCTTCACCAATTAATCTTTCTCAACCATTCATAATAGTGCAGCCTGACAGCAGTTGCCGAGCTTTGGGTACCCAGTTATTGCTAAAGATCCATGCTCAACCATTTAGGTCCTGAATGGGATACGAATCCGGGATTCCTGATTGTGAGTCTAGGACAAACCCAACCATATACTAATTATATTTCATTATCTTCCAGTAAAATGTACATGAAAGGAAATATCTGTGTGTCCAAGGATGGAGGCCAGATGCTTGGGGCTAGCCTCTCTCAACCCTCACCAAACACCTGTGTAGAGTGATTGGTGAGAGCGCGACCTCTGTGAAATTGGAGATGATTGGTAGCTAGTCGTTCGAATTTCATCGTTTTAAGCCACCATATACAGACTAGCAACACCACCATCCTGTGCGTAGGTTCGAACCCTCATCACGACCCTTATGGACCTGTTCATTTGATATATTATGTTAATATGATTTATGTAGGTAACCAATGGTTCCCAGACAACGCCAAAACGTTGTACCATTTAAGTGTTGGGAGCCTTCAGAATGTAAATCTGTCATCAAAACAAGCGTTTAGGCATGCCATCCCCTCACTGACTTCGTCAGGTCCAAGAAGGGGGCTGACCCCGACCACCTACCAAGTGTTCCAATACACCCACCCATCGCATAGAAAAATGTCCTTGGGTTTAGTACACAATTCACGGCTGCAGAACCCCACCATTTTGGCCCTGCACACTGACCTTCCCATACAACCACCAGTTACCCTAAAGAGTTTGGGGGAGGCTAGCCTCATGTGTCTGTCCTCCACTCTTGGCCAGTCAAACAGACATCCTCTTTCGTAGTTATAGCTTCCATGGTAAGTTTTCCATTTTAACTGTTATTGTTGTGTTGATTTTGGGGCGAAGACGATCGTAGGACATTTTAACTGTTATTTTGGTGGGTCTGACAGAATACAAACATATAAACAATTGTCTCTCGAAGCACATCTAGTCTGCTTAATAATAATTAAAATGTCTTCATTATAATTAGACAGCATAGCAAAGTTTGGTAACTTTTTGCAAATTAAAATTGTAATGTCGATAAGACTCGTTTGTTATTAAACTATGATAGTTTACAGAGAGCCAGAATGTTATTTCAAGTTTTGACACTAGTCAACGCCGTCAACTCCAAATACGGATTGAGTATTTTTAAGAGCAGTTTTTTTTTTGCAACAGACGAGTCAGGATAGCCTACACCCAGGAAACTTGCTTAATTAGCCTTAGGCATTAATTCCTCTCACTGAACAAGAATTAAACACAAAACTATTGGGGGATTCAGAGCCAGCATGATAACCAATTCATCAACAGTTTCCACATGGACATGTTACATGAGATGAGATTTGAATAAAAATCATGCCCACATAAACCCATCCCCATATAAATATCACTCCAACTATAACTGTAAATATGTTCTAAACGTTAATGTTGCTGCCATCATGGTGTATGGATACATCTGCCGGGTAGACAGTTCTTCATGTCACTACATTTAACCATAGGTACCGGGTTGCCTGAGCTATCCGGACCAGGAAGGACTGAGAGAGACACCCAGGAAGGCCTCCCAGGTGATGATCACAGGAGCAGAAGCCTCCAGGATGGTCGCAAGGCTCCACGCAAGAGACTCAATAGCAGGAAACGACCCATCAGTGATGAACCACACGATGACTCGCTCAGTGGCAACAGAAAACGACACAATGACTCGCTGGGTAGCAACAGAAAACGACACAAGGACTCGCTGGGTAGCAACGGAAAACGACACAAGGACTCGCTGGGTAGCAACGGAAAACGACCCAAGAAAACATATAATAACAGCCAAGGAAAGAGATACGAAAATGAGAAAGATAAACATTCAGGAAACATAAAAATTTACGAGAAAGATGACACTAAAATGTACAAGAATAAAGGTCATGTTAAGAGCAGAAACGAGACAGAACACAAGACAATGGTCAAGAGTAAAGAACGGGAGAAGAACACGAGCGATAAAGAGGTTAAAGAAGAACAAAATAACAAGAGTCGGAATAGAAATGACAAGAACGAAGACGACAAGTCAAAAACGAATGGAAATAAAAGGAAAACAAGAGCAAAACATCGGGAAGGGGAAAACAAGAAAACGCCCAAAACAAAAGAAAACACAGAAAATGTCAAAACTAAGAATAATAAAGAACACAACAACCAAACACAGAACAAGTCCATGAAAAATAAAGAGTTTCCTAAAGAGAAAAAGAATAAAAACAAAGGAATTGGCATTAAGAAAACAGAACAAGAAAAACATGAAGAGATTAGGGGAAAGAGCAGACGGAAAGGAGACAATAAGAAAAGACGTAAAGGAAAAAACAACAACACAAGAAAGATGAAACAAACAAATTACTTAAAGGACGAAGAGAAAATGAACCAAATACAATTGGAAAAGAAGAGAAACAAAGACATTACTCAGATAAAACGAAAGAGGAACAATAAAAAGGAAACAATAATAGAGAAGAGGACGAGAGGCAGAGGAACAACTAACAACCACAAAGGAACAAACAAAAGCAGTAAACAAAGACAAAAAGGAACAAGAAAAATAAACGCGTCTAAAACGAGGAAAAAGAAGAGGACAATCAAGAAGAATAACGGACGAAGTGAAGAGATCAAGAAATATAAAAACAGTAAGACATCGAAGGAAAGTGAGAGAAAAAAGGAGATTAAGAAAAATAAAAAAGATAAGAAAAAGAACAAAAATAACAGAACAGAAACAAATGCAATAAATAAGGAAAATAAAAATATAGAGAATATGGGAAATAAACCAAATATGAAGAATAACAGTGTTAAGGTGAATAAGAAAAGAATAGTAGGAAGGTCAGGAAGAGCAAGGCTGGAACCTCCTGGAAGAAAAAAAAGGTCAGGAAGGGCAAGGATGGAGCCTCCTGGAAGAATAGGAAGAGTAAGGGTGAAGCGTTCAATAAAAACATGAAGGGCAGGAAGAATAAGGCTAGAGCCTCCAGGAAGAACGTCAGGAAGGACAAGACTGGAGCCTCCAGGAAGCAGAAGAGCCGAAAAAACAATGCTAGAGCCTCCTGGAAGCGGAAAAGAGGCAGGAATAGCAAGGCTGGTGCCTCCAAGAAGAGGAGCTCGGCTGGAAGCTCCAGGAAGAAGAGCTTGGCTGGAAGCTCCAGGAAGAAGAGCTCAGCTGGAAGCTCCAGGATACTAACGAATGGCAGGAAAATCAAGGCTGGAGCTTCTAGTAAGAATAAGAAGTTCAGGAAGGGCAAGATTGGAGCCTCCAGTAAGAATAAAAATGCCAGGAAGGGCAAGGCTGGAGCCTCCAGTAAGAATAAAAATGCCAGGAAGGGCAAGGCTGGAGCCTCCAGTAAGAATAATAAGGCCAGGAAGGGCAAGGCTGGAACTTCCAGGAGGCAGAAGTCCAGGAAGGACACAATGCAAGCCCTTACAAAGCAGAAAAAAGGCAGGAAAAACCAGGCTGCAACTTCCAAGAAGAGGAGTAAGATTGGAGTCTCCAGGAAGAATAAGAAGGGAAAGGCTGGAACCTCCAAGAAGAATAAGAAGGGTAAGGCTGGAACCTCCAAGAAGAATAAGAAGGGCAAGGCTGGAGCCTCCAGGAAAAATAAGAAGGGTAAGGCTGGAACCTCCAATAAGAATAAGAAGGGCAAGGCTGGAACCTCTAAGAAGAATAAGAAGGGCAAGGCTGGAGCCTCTAGGAAGAATAAGAAGGGTAAGGCTGGAGCCTCCAGGAAAAATAAGAAGGGTAAGGCTGGAACCTCCAATAAGAATAAGAAGGGCAAGGCTGGAACCTCTAAGAAGAATAAGAAGGGCAAGGCTGGAGCCTCCAGGAAAAATAAGAAGGGTAAGGCTGGAACCTCCAAGAAGAATAAGAAGGGTAAGGCTGGAACCTCCAAGAAGAATAAGAAGGGCAAGGCTGGAGCCTCCAGGAAAAATAAGAAGGGTAAGGCTGGAGCCTCCAGGAAGAATAAGAAGGGTAAGGCTGGAGCCTCCAGGAAAGGAAGGGCAAGGCTGGAGCCTCCAGGAAAAATAAGAAGGGTAAGGCTGGAAGAAGAATGAAGGGTCCTGGAAGAAGAAGATAAGAAGGGCAAGGCTGGAGCCTCCAGGAAGTCTAAGAAGGACAATAAGGGCAAGGCTGAAGGCTGGAACCTCCAAGAAGAATAAGAAGGGCAAGGCTGGAGCCTCCAGGAAAAGAAGAAGGGTAGCCTTCAGGAAGAATAAGAAGGGCAAGGCTGGAAGGAAGAATAAGAAGGGTAAGGCCTCTTCTAGGAAGAACAAGAAGGGCAAGGCTCCAGGAAGAATAAGAAGAATAAGAAGGGTAAGGCTGGAGCCTCCAGGAAGAATAAGAAGGGCAAGGCTGGAGCCTCCAGGAAGAATAAGAAGGGCAAGGCTGGAGCCTCCAGGAAGAATAAGAAGGGCAAGGCTGGAGCCTACAGGAAGAATAAGAAGGGCAAGGCTGGAGCCTCCAGGAAGAATAAGAAAGCCAGGAAGGGCAAGGCCTCCTGGAAAGGTTGGTCAGGCGATCCCCTGTGTGAGGAGACCATGGAAGCTTGTAAGAGGTACGGCGGCTGGTGCGTCAGTCCGGACAAGGAGTGTCCATCGCTATACGAAACTTACTCCAGCAACACCTGCAAGACTTGTAAATGTTGTAAACAAGGTGAGTCTTGTCTCCTTTTGTTGAATTATTTATCTAATACCCAGACACTTGTTTTCTGTTAAGTTTATGATGCCGAAACTATCGTTTTCTGTAATTTTTCTAACTCCCAGACTATTGTTTTTTTGTTATATTTCTAATTCCCACACTATTGTTTTGTTATGTTTATAGCCCCAGCAACCCATCCTTCGTGTTTAGATAGTGCTTTTTGTAACTATATGCACCATAATACAAACTTTGACGTACTAAGCAGTATGTAGAATTTTGTACTATTTATTTTATAGTTAAAAAAGAAGAGGCTAAAAAACATACTTAACTATTCCTAGGTCTTGTATAGCACACTTATGTTCTATATTAGGCCGCAGAAAGCGTGTATTAGGCCGAAGAAAGTTAGGTTAGTTTAGTTTGTCTTTGGAACATAAGTAGAAAATCGTTTTCCGGTTTGTCCACATTCAATAGTACAAATTTCTGCTTTCCAATTGTGTTGTGCATAGGTATATGCACTTTGGTCCTATGGTCTTCATCCTTCCTATGAGTACCACCAAAACAAGAGGTTATGGTGCTCCCAGACTATTAGTATCTATAATTTTCTCAAACCCAAACGATTATATTCTGATAGAGTTTCTATCCAGATTTCCATTTACTGTTTTAACATAAATTGTAGTTTTCCGTTGTTTCTAACACTCGGACTATAGTTTTCTTTTATGTTTCTGACGCACATTATTGTTGGCTGTTACTCAGGCTATTACTTGTTATGAAACGAACACCCTGCAGGCCCTTGCTTTTGTTATGTTGCTAACACATAGTATTTATCTTGCTAATAGCCTATTAGTTATTGTATATGTAAGGTCGCTGACAACCATTGTTTGTTCCTTTTCTGTTATCCTCCTAACACAGACTGTTATTGGTTGATGTTTGTTATTTTGCTGATAATATTATTTTGTTTCTGGAAAAGGCTCATAATACCACTTAGGCAAATGACTTGTCATTCTTCACATCTCTGACCTGAGTTACACTGTAGTTGGTTACCCATTTCAATATATTTTGGCTATTATGCTTAAAATGTGTATATTTATAGTATGTAACAACCCCTTCTCAAGTTAGGCTCGTCCAGGCTACAGCCCCCAGAGACACATTTATCAATTTAAACGTACGCCATATTAAATGAAGGTTACTTCTCATTTATGTTAGTATTACTACATTTTAAAGTTCCATGTATAGTTAGGAATAGATTAGGCTTCATTAGGTGGTTAAGTTCTGTTGGCGATTATTTGTATTTCAAGTACATGGGTGAAGAAGCAATTACAGAGTTGCAGTTCAAAATGAAGTCGTCAGCGAACCATTGTTCGATAAATTTTCGAACGTTATCAGTTTCAACCTCAACCTGTCCTCAGGCCAAGGGCGTTAAAGCGGTGGCCATCCTCCAAGACGCATTCATCAATTTTAAAGTACTGTGTAATAAAAATAGATTTGTTCTAATACTCAATATTATTATACATTACAATTCTATGTATAGTTAAGCATAGGTTAGGTACAGGTACCGATTATTTCTATTTGTTCTATGTGGGTGGAGCATTTACCCGTCCTCGGACCATTCCATTTCATCCAGCGGTCGACCCCAAAGACGCATTCATCAATTTTAACATGTTGTTCATTCAAAACAGAAATTTTATCATTTATAAATGAATATTATTTTATATTAGCATATTGTACATATATGGTTAGGTGTTTCGGTTCTGCTGGCGATTATTTATATATATAGTACGTGGGTGAAGCATTTACAGGTTTGTGGTTCGAGCAAAATTCGTCAGTGAAGCACTTGTTCCGGAAGGGTTCTAATGAAATCAGTTGTGAGTCCAGCACGTCCTCTAAACAAAGACCCAAAAGTGATTCCATGCACCCGCCAAAGCCCCTGTTTATGAATGAAAAACGGTTTACACACGACTCAACTGATTTCTTTCGAACAATTCTGGAACAAGTGCTTCACAGACGAATTTTGTTCGAACCACAATGCTGTAAATGCTTCACCCACGTACTACAAATACAAATAATCGCCAACAGAACCTAAACACCTAACCTAACCTAATCTTTGTCTATATATGCACAATATGCTAATATATTTTAATATTAATCTATATTTGAGAGAATTCCCGTTTTGAATGAACATCATGTAAAAATTTATGAATGCGTGTGAGGGGTCGACCGCTGGATGTAATGGACTTGAGTCGAGGACGGGTTGCTTTATCAGTTTTCAGTCGTGTGTAAACCGGTTTCTTTCTTAAACAGTGGGTTTGACGGCTAGATTAACGAGCATTTGGCCTTTGTTGATAAGGACGGGATACTCTGCTGATGAGGACGGGCTGTGGTGTGTTTGCAGTACTTGGGTGAAATATTTAGAAATATTTCGTGGGTACGTGAACGGAGCACTTTTTACAAAAAGTACATACATCAGTTGCGAGTCGTGTGAAAAGGATCTCACATTAAAAAACGGGGTTTGACTTCTGGATTACCACATTTGGCGTTTGTTGATGAGGCTAGGCTAATAAGCTGAAGCATTTACTATAGAAACACTGTGCTCCTCCGACAGAGTGCAAGGCAAAGAAGAAGTGCAAGAAGCGTGGCGGGTCCTGCAAGAAGCAGTGTTCGCCCGGCGAGAAGAAGGTGAAGAAAGGCTGCCGAGGACGGAAGTGCAAGTGTTGTGTTCCAGGTGAATATTTCTCATTTATTTATGTGTTTCGTCCATTTGCATCCCGAGACACTTTTAGGACCTTTTGAATATCCTGCGACCCAGACGGTGCTAAATAATGTTTGCCTTCTTTTGATGCGTACGTCGCCGGGTTGTATACTTTAGTCATACCTCTTATTCAAAGCATTTGAAGCGAATATAAGTTCAGTTTTCTTTATCATCGCTTTGGAGATGCTTCATTTATTTATTTATTTATTTATTTATGCATATACAAGAATGTACATAAGGAATGTGAGGATACAAATATGGTAATTACAGCCTTGTAAAGCCACTAGCACGCGCAGCGTTTCGGGCAGGTCCTTAATCTAAGAAAATTTTAAGGAGGTAAATACTTGCAAAAATTATAGACAAAAAAATGATAACAGATTACATGAAATGAAAAAAAAAAAGATGATAGAAATTGTAGGTACAGTATATTAAAGCACATAGATAGCTAAGATTGATTGCAATGACAGCTTGAATGGTAGTTGACAAAAAAATTGGTAGGCACAATACAGCTAGCAGATTGTATCATGTTAAGGATTAACTTTAACAAAGGTTCTCTGAGCTCTTCCTTACATTCTTTTATTTTTAAGTCTAACAAATATCTCATAATTGACCCCAAAACTGACTTGGATTGTTCTGTAGTTTTACAAATCTTAGTTTTATTATTAGCTGCTTAAATCAGCAATGAACTTCACTTCCTCTGTAAACAGTGTCTAACCTCGTGTATTGTTAAGTTCTTCCCTGGTGAGTATTTATGTGAAATAGTTACTCAAAATGTTGTACATTTCTTAAACATTGTCAGTCAACTGACCTCTACCTGTCTAGCAGTTTTCAGGGGGTTGTTTCATTAATGTATTTTGTTTCATTAATGTATTTTGTTTAGGACTGAATTTGATGACCGTGCTGATCTAATTGTTATGTTCTGTATTTATTTTTATTTTTTATCTATTTGCAGTTACTGTATGAATTATAGCTTTTGACTGAGTACCTTATCCCGACAGTATCTTTCATTAATTACTTTTATCAAACTATATTTTATTCAAAAAGAAACTTTCATAATTATAATTCAGTATTTCAAAGATGACAGTATCCCTGAGATTTTAAGGGTGTAAAAAATGATTCTAATATTTTTTCTTAATTATAAATTTATGGTAGAAACACTGTGTTCCTCCGACAGGGTGTAAGATAAAGAAGAAGTGCGAGAAGCGTGGCGGGTCCTGCAAGAAGCAGTGTTCGCCTGGCGAGAAGGTGGTGAAGAAGGGCTGTCGAGGACGGAAGTGCAAGTGTTGCGTCCCAGGTGAATATTTCTCATTTATTTAACTCTTCTCTCTATTTGCATCCTGAGTAGTGATTTTCTGACCAGGGGGAGAAAGATACTGGCAGTATGGGGCGTTAAAGTTTATTGAAGATTAAATTCTGCAGAACATGTAAATATATAAAGTTCAAATATATAAGTAAGTAATTATATAAAGTTTATATTAAACACGGTTTATATTATAGACTTATAACAAAGTTGATATTATATTAAACTTAATATTGAACATGTAAATATATAAAGTTTCCAAATATAAATTAAGTAAATATATAACGTTTATATTAAAATATATAAAGTAAATATATAAAGTAAGAATTAACAGTAACAATTCCAAGTCCGAGGACTAGATTTAACTTAAAAGGTACACCCGTAGTAAGTATGAGACCTTAGCCTATAGTGACATGGAAACTAATTCTGCAGAAACCTAAAGGTTAACTGGTACTAGAATTAAGGCCGAGTGCAAATGTGTAGTAATTATATAACACTAGGATATAACAGGCAGGACACAAAGAATAACTAATAAGTGAGAGACCACATAACACGTAATGTACCCGGCCAAGAGGCCGTAAAAGACCTAATGGATAAGGAGAAGGGGGGTGACTACAAGTAGGGCTTACTAGCACCTAGACTGGGCAAAGTATTAGCTGCGGACAGCGGGACACTTGGGGACCGGCACTGCACCCCCCTTCCCACATGCAGTGGGGAGACAATCGGGACAACTGTGCAAAGCATGACGGGGGTACAAAAGCAGCCGCTTGCAAAGGGGGGGAGGGTGGGGTTTTGCGAGGGCAGCGGCGAGGGCAGGCGGAGTGAGGCAGAGCCCCATTGTGCGCCCGTATTTATACGGCCCCAAACTGCCCGCGCAACGCCGCGGGACGCGCTGCGCAATTGTTTCTTTCTCCCCCGCCAGAAAAATCCCCGCTTGCGATCAAGCAGTGACCATATTTAAGCCATTTTGAATGTCCTGCGACACAAACAGTGTTAAATAGTCTTTACATTCTTGGTTCAAGTTCAAGTATGTTTATTGAGATAAGAAAGAAATACATCTCAAAGGGATAGAGTAGCTTAGGCTATTCTTGTTACCTTTTTTTGGTAATGGCTTTGTCAATTTGTATAATTTTGTCATGCCTCATTTAAAAATAATTAAAATTTTGTTTGATCTATCATTGCTCGGGAGATTCGTCATGTTAAATATAAACAAAGGATCTCTGAGACCTTTGCATTCTTTTTAAGGCTAACAATTATCTTATATTATTAAAAATGACCGAAAAAGTAAGATTAATAATTCTAACACGAATTTTCTCAATATTTCTTATGTTTCTTTTCACTGTCGATGGTAACTGAAAAATCAATTCTCCAAAATTCATTTTTATTTCTAGTTTTTTATTTCATTTTCTGACGCGAAACTTGAACGCGTTTCGTAATAATTTATTACATTTTCAAAGACTTTAGTTTACACATACACACAACTATAACATGCAAACAGTGTTCTACTATGCTATAATTTAAACAGCTTTCATCTTATATAATCGCATTTGGGTGAGGTGATATGTTACAACAGTTTTGGATGAGGTGAACAAAACTTTCAACACAAGGTAGAGCAAACTTTCAACACAAGACAGAACACACTAGTCAAAGCCACTAGTCAAAGCCACTACTAAAGCCACTAGTACGCTGTGCGTACTAGTGGCTTTACAAGAATGTAAATACTGTACTATCCAATGTACTCTCACAAACCCAATGTAGCTTCTTGTATATATATAAATAAATAAATAAATAAATAAATAAATAAATAAACATGAAACAATGGGTATAAATTGGGTAAATTAAAGGGAAGAATGGAAATAACTGCAAAGGGCCTATTGGCCCATATTTCTTGATGCTTCTATATTGGTGCGGAGTCTTGAATTGGGTAGAATATAGTTGTGCATTAATTGGCTGTTGATTGCTGGTGTTGACCTCTTGATGTGTAGTGCCTCGCAGATGTCAAGCTGCCTGCTATCGCTGTATCTATCGATGATTTTTGTGTTGTTTGTTAAGATTTCTCTGGTGATGGTCTGGTTGTGGGAAGAGATTATATGTTCCTTGATGGAGCCCTGTTGCTTATGCATCGTTAATCGCCTGGAAAGAGATGTTGTTGTCTTGCCTATATATTGAGTTCTTTGAGGCTTACAGTCCCCAAGTGGGCATTTGAAGGCATAGACGACGTTGGTCTCTTTTAAAGCGTTCTGCTTTGTGTCTGGAGAGTTTCTCATGAGTAGGTTGGCCGTTTTTTTGGTTTTATAGTAAATCATCAATTGTATCTTCTGATTTTTGTCTGTAGGGATAGCGTTTCTATTAACAATATCTTTCAGGACCCTTTCCTCCGTTTTATGAGCTGTGGAAAAGAAGTTCCTGTAAAATAGTCTAATAAGGGGTAAAGGTGTTGTGTTAGTTGTCTCTTCAGAGGTTGCATTGCGTTTCACCTTCCTTCTTATGATGTCTTCAACGAAACCATTGGAGAAGCCGTTGTTGACTAGGACCTGCCTTACCCTACAGAGTTCTTCATCGACTTGCTTCCATCCTGAGCTGTGGCTGAGAGCACGATCAACATAAGCGTTAACAACACTCCTCTTGTACCTGACCGGGCAGTCACTGTTGGCATTGAGGCACATTCCTTTGTTTGTTTCCTTAGTGTAGACTGCAGTGTGGAAACCTCCGCTCCTTTTCATGACTGTTACATCTAGAAAGGGCAGCTTCCCCTCCTTCTCCATCTCGTAAGTGAAACGCAACACAGAATTCCGCTCAAATGCCTCTTTCAGCTCCTGCAGATGTCTGACATCAGGTACCTGTGTAAAAATGTCATCAACATACCTGCAGTATATGGCCAGTTTCAAGTTCATGTCGACTAAGACCTTCTGTTCGATGGTACCCATGTAGAAGTTCGCAAACATGACACCTAGGGGAGAACCCATGGCGACCCCATCTACTTACTTATACATGTGCCCATCCGGGCTCAAGAAGGGTGCCTCTTTAGTACAAGTTTGGAGTAGTTTCCTTAGAATGTTTTCTGGTATGTCAAGAGGAGTACAGGCCGGATCACGATACACTCTGTCCGCTATCATCCCGATTGTTTCATCCACAGGTACGTTGGTAAACAGTGATTCTACTTCCAACGAGGCTCTTCTCCCTGCGGCCCGTGTTCCCCGCAGTAAGTCAACAAATTCCTTTGGAGACTTCAGGCTGAAGGCGCAAGGGACATAAGGAGTCAGCAAGCCATTGAGTCGCTTTGCCAGTCTGTACGTGGGTGTGGATATCTGGCTGATGATTGGCCGAAGTGGGTTTCCAGGCTTGTGTGTCTTGACATTTCCATACGCATACCCAGGTTTGTATTCCCCAATAATCTTTGGCAGGTGGAGTTCGGATTTCTTCAATGAGGCACATTCCTATGTTTGTTTCCTTAGTGTAGACTGCAGTGTGGAAACCTCCGCTCCTTTCCATGACTGTTACATCTAGAAAGGGCAGCTTCCCATCCTTCATGGAAAAATGCTTCTAATTTTGTGCTATTTTCCTTGCCACAAATTTACCATCATAGAAACACTGCTCTTCCGACAGAGTGTAAGATAAAGAAGAAGTGCAAGAAGCGTGGCGGGTCCTGCAAGAAGCAGTGTTCGCCTGGCGAGAAGGAGGTGAAGAAGGGCTGTCGAGGACGGAAGTGCAAGTGTTGCGTGGATCGTGGTGGTAAGTGTTGTACACACCTGGTTGTGTGGTGGTGGTGGAGAGTACGGTATACACTTTACTGGTTGTGTGGTGAATGGTGGAGGTAAATGTTGTACACATCCTGTGTGCCGGATAACTAATTTACACATATCAACTACTCTCACTCTCTAGCCAGGACTCACTAGGCTACTTACTTATATTCCTCTACTTCAATTCATTATTTCTTTATCTCATTTAGTTTTAAGCCTTTTATTTTTTTCTCATTTTGTGCCCGAAACGTTCTGAGTATTAGTGACTTTAGGCATTGTACTTCCTTACCCATGATTCATACAGTGTTCTTATACCCTATGTATGTACTCATCTAGTTGTGCTTGCGGGGGTTGAGCTTCGGCTCTTTGGTTCCGCCTCTCAACTGTCAATCAACTGGTGTACAGGTTCCTGAGCCTACTGGGCTCTATCATATTTACGTTTGAAACTGTGTATGGAGTCAGCCTCCACCACAACCTGCTTAATGCATTCCATTTGTTAATAATCTGACACTGAAAAAGTTCTTTCTAACGTCCCTGTGACTCATTTGGGAACTTAGTTTCCACCCGTGTCCCCCTTGTTTGCGTACCATCCGTGCTAAATAGTTAATCTGTATCTACCCTGTTAATTCCTCTGAGAATTTTATAGGTAGTGATCATGTTTCCCCCTAACTCTTCTGTCTTCCAGTGTCGTGAGGTTTAGTTCCAATAATCTTTCCTCGTAGCTCATACCCCTCAGCTCGGGGACTAGCCTAGTGGTTTATCTCTAAACCTTTCCTAACATCGTTTTGTGTTCGACTAGATATGGACTCCATACTGGCGCTTCGCACTCCAGTATTGGTCTGACATATGAGGTAAAAATTCTTCCCTTCTTACATACATACATACAACGTTAAATCAACGTTAAATCAACGTAATTGCGTTTAACGTAAACGTTAAACGCAACGTAAATCAACGTAATCAGCGTAGATTTGAGACAAGAGAACACAACGCGGCGAGGTTTTGTGAGCGTTGTGATGGTACTATAGGGTGTTGTCAGTGTGTGTGTGTTCCCTTTCTTATGCTGCCATCGACGGGGAACAATGAGTACAACCAAATATCTTTTTCTTTAGGGACGACTACTGGATCATCAACGACTTTAGCATCATCATCATCTTCAGCAGCACCACCAACATCATCAACAGCTTCAGCACCGCCAACATCATCAACTGCTTCAGCAGCACCACCAACGCCACCAAGAACTCCAGCACCACCACCAACACCACCAAGAACTCCAGCACCACCACCAACACCACCAAGAACTCCACCACCACCACCAACACCACCAAGAACTCCAACACCACCACCAACACCACCAAGAACTCCAGCACCACCACCTACACCACCAAGAACTCCAGCACCGCCACCAACACCACCAAGAACTCCAGCACCACCACCAACACCACCAAGAACTCCAGCACCACCACCAACACCACCAAGAACTCCAGCACCACCACCTACACCACCAAGAACTCCAGCACCGCCACCAACACCACCAAGAACTCCAGCACCACCACCAACACCACCAAGAACTCCACCACCACCACCAACACCACCAAGAACTCCAACACCACCACCAACACCACCAAGAACTCCAGCACCACCACCTACACCACCAAGAACTCCAGCACCGCCACCAACACCACCAAGAACTCCAGCACCGCCACCAACACCACCAAGAACTCCAGCACCGCCACCAACACCACCAAGAACTCCAGCACCACCACCAACACCACCAAGAACTCCAGCACCACCAACACCACCAAGAACTCCAGCACCACCACCAACACCACCAAGAACTCCAACACCACCAACATCTCCAAGAACTCCAACACCACCAAGAACTCCAACATCTCCAAGAACTCCAACACCACCAAGAACTCCAACACCACCAAGAACTCCAACACCACCAAGAACTCCAACACCACCAACATCTCCAAGAACTCCAACACCACCAACACCACCAAGAACTCCAACACCACCAAGAACTCCAACACCACCAAGAACTCCAACACCACCAAGAACTCCAGCACCGCCACCAACACCACAACAACGACAAGTACAACATCGACTTCAACATCGACAAGTACAACATCGACTTCAACAACGACAAGTACGACATCAACATCGACAAGTACAAGTACATCGACTTCAACATCGACAAGTACAACATCGACTTCAACATCGACAAGTACAACATCGACTTCAACAACGACAAGTACAACATCGACTTCAACACCGACAAGTACAACATCGACTTCAACAACGACAAGTACAACATCGACTTCAACAACGACAAGTACAACATCGACTTCAACATCGACAAGTACAACACACTCAACACAACATCGACTAAGTACGACATCGACTTCAACACATCGACAAGTACAACAACATCGACTTCAACATCGACAACATCGACAAGTACAACATCGACTCAACAACGACATCGACAACATCGACAAGTATGACATCGACTTCAACAACGACAAGTACGACATCGACAAGTACAACAATGACAAGTACGACATCAACTTCAACAACGACTAGTACGACATCGACTTCAACATCGACAAGTACAACATTGACTAGTACGACATCGACTTCAACACCGACAAGTACAACATCGACTTCAACATCGACTAGTACAACATCGACTTCAACAACGACAAGTACAACATCGACTTCAACCACGACAAGTACAACATCGACATCAACACTTCGACAACAAGTACAACATCGACTTCAACACGACAAGTACAACATACTTCAACATCGACAAGTACAACATCGACTTCAACAACGACAACATACAACATCGACTTCAACATCGACAAGTACAACATCGACTTCAACACGACAAGTACAAGACTACAACATCGACAAGTACAACATCGACTTCAACACGACAAGTACGACATCGACTTCAACACCGACAAGTACAACATCGACTTCAACAACGACAAGTACAACATCGACTTCAACACCGACAAGTACACATCGACTACAACATACGACTCGACTTCAACAACGACAAGTACGACATCGACTTCAACATCGACAAGTACAACATCGACTTCAACATCGACAAGTACAACATCGACTTCAACAACGACAAGTACAACATCGACTTCAACACTTCACAACGACACATCGACTTCAACATCGACAAGTACAACATCGACTTCAACACAACGACAACAACGTACTAACAACATCGACGACTTCAACAACGACAAGACTACAACATCGACAAGTAATCGACAACGACAAGTACGATATTGACTTCAACAACGACAAGTACAACATCGACTTCAACAACGACAAGTACAACAACGACTAGTACAACATCGACTTCAACATCGACAAGTACGACATCGACTTCAACAACGACAAGTACGATATCGACAAGTACAACAACGACAAGTACGACATCGACTTCAACAACGACAAGTACAACATCGACTAGTACGACATCGACTTCAACATCGACAAGTACAACATCGACTAGTACGACATCGACTTCAACATCGACAAGTACAACATCGACAACATCATCGACTTCAACACGACAAGTACAACATCGACTTCAACACATCGACAACTACAACATCGACAAGTACGTATCGACTTCAACATCGACAAGTACAACATCGACTTCAACACAAGTACGACATCGACTTCAACAACGACAAGTACAACATCGACTTCAACATCGACAACATACGTTCAACATCGACAAGTCGACTTCACAACATCGACAAGTACAACATCGACTTCAACATCGACAAGTACACATCGACTTCGACAAGTACAACACTTCGACGACAACATACAACATCGACTTCAACATCGACAAGTACAACATCGACTTCAACATCGACAAGTACAACATCGACTTCAACACCGACAAGTACAACATCGACTTCAACATCGACTAGTACGACATCGACTTCAACACCGACAAGTACAACATCGACTTCAACATCGACTAGTACGACATCGACTTCAACATCGACAAGTACAACATCGACTAGTACAACGACAACTACAACATCGACAAGTACAACATCGACGACTTCAACAACAAGTACGACTTCAACAACGACAAGTACAACATCGACTTCAACAAGTACGACATCGACTTCAACAACGACAAGTACAACATCGACTTCAACAACGACAAGTACAACATCGACTTACAACATCGACAAGTACAACATCGACTTCAACACGACTTCAACAACGACAAGTACAACATCGACTTCAACAAGTACAACATCGACAAGTACAACATCGACTTCAACAACGACAAGTACAACATCGACTTCAACACACAGTACAACATCGACTTACAACGACTTCAACATCGACAAGTACAACGACAAGTACGACTTCAACATCGACAAGTACAACATCGACTTCAACACACACAACATCGACTAGTACGACATCGACTTCAACATCGACAAGTACAACATCGACTTCAACAACGACAAGTACAACATCGACTTCAACACCGACAAGTACAACATCGACTTCAACACGACAAGTACATCGACTTCAACACAAGTACAACATCGACTTCAACATCGACAAGTACACACACTCGACAAGTACAACGATCGACAAGTACGACATCGACAACATCGACAAGTACAACATCGACTTCAACATCGACAAGTACAACATCGACTTCAACATCGACAAGACTACAACATCGACAAGTACAACATCGACTTCAACATCGACTTCACATCGACTTCAACATCGACAAGTACGATATCGACTTCAACATCGACAAGTACGATATCGACTTCAACATCGACAAGTACGATACCGACTTCAACATCGACAAGTACGACATCGACTTCAACGACAAGTACAACATTGACTAGTACGACATCGATTTCAACATCGACAAGTACAACATCGACTTCACGACATCGACTTCAACAACATCGACTACAACATCGACTTACAACATCGACAAGTACAACATCGACTACAACAACGACAAGTACAACATCGACTTCAACAACGACAAGTACAACATCGACTTCAACATCGACAAGTACGACATCGACTTACAATCGACTTCAACACTTCGACAAGTACAACATCGACTTCAACAACGACAAGTACAACATCGACTTCAACAACGACAAGTACAACATCGACTTCAACAACGACAACATCAACATCGACTACAACATCGACTCAACATCGACTTCAACAACGACAAGTACAACATCGACGACAAGTACAACATCGACTTCAACAACGACAAGTACAACATCGACAAGTACGACATCGACTTCAACATCGACAAGTACAACATCGACTAGTACGACATCGACTTCAACATCGACAAGTACAACAACGACAAGTACGACATCGACTTCAACAACGACAAGTACAACATCGACTTCAACAACGACAAGTACGACATCGACTTCAACATCGACTTCACGACATCGACTTCAACATCGACAAGACAACAACAACATCGACTTCAACACACACAAGACTACAACAACATCAACTACAACATCGACACTTCAACAACGACAAGTACAACATCAACAACGACAAGTACGACATCGACTTCAACAACGACAAGTACAACATCGACTTCAACAACGACAAGTACAACATCGACTTCAACAACATCGACTACAACATCGACTTCAACATCGACAAGTACAACATCGACTTACACATCACTTCAACAACACGACAAGTACAACATCGACTTCAACAACGACAAGTACAACATCGACTTCAACATCGACAAGTACAACATCGACTTCAACACCGACAAGTACAACATCGACTTCAACGACAAGTACGACATCGACTTCAACATCGACTTCAACAACGACATCGACTTCAACAACGACACAACATCGACTTCAACAACGACAAGTACAACATCGACTACAACATCGACTTACAACATCGACTTCAACAACGACAAGTACAACATCGACAACAACACATCGACTTCAACATTGACAAGTACAACATCGACTTCAACACCGACAAGTACTACATCGACTTCAACATCGACTAGTACGACATCGACTTCAACACCGACAAGTACAACATCGACTTTAACATCGACAAGTACGACATCGACTTCAACAACGACAAGTACAACATCGACTAGTACGACATCGACTTCAACATCGACAAGTACGACATCGACTTCAACATCGACAAGTACAACATCGACTTCAACATCGACAAGTACAACATCGACTTCAACAACGACAAGTACAACATCGACTTCAACATCGACAAGTACAACATCGACTTCAACAACGACAAGTACAACATCGACTTCAACATCGACAAGTACAACATCGACTAGTACAATATCGACTTCAACATCGACAAGTACAACATCGACTTCAACAACGACAAGTACAACATCGACTTCAACACCGACAAGTACAACATCGACTTCAACACCGACAAGTACAACGACAAGTCAACATCGACAAGTACAAGTACGACATCGACGAAGTACGACATCGACTTCAAGTCGACATCGACTTCAACACGTACAACATCGACTTCAACAACGACAAGTACAACATCGACTTCAACAACGACAAGTACAACATCGACTTCAACAACGACAAGTACAACATCGACTTCAACAACGACAAGTACAACATCGACTTCAACACCGACAAGTACAACATCGACTTCAACATCGACTACAACATCGACTAGTACGACATCGACTTCAACAACGACAAGTACAACATCGACTTCAACATCGACAAGTACAACATCGACTTCAACACCGACAAGTACAACATCGACTTCAACATCAACATCGACTTCAACATCGACAAGTACAACATCGACTTCAACAACGACAAGTACAACATCGACTTCAACACAACACATCGACTTCAACACCGACAAGTACGACATCGACTTCAACATCGACTATTACGACATCGACTTCAACAACGACAAGTACGACATCGACTTCAACAACGACAAGTACAACATCGACAAGTACGACATCGACTTCAACATCGACAAGTACAACATCGACTAGTACAATCGACAAGTACAACAACATCGACAACAACGACACGACATCGACTTCAACATCGACAAGTACAACATCGACTACGACATCGACTCACAAGTACAACGACAAGTACAACATCGACAACATACGACATCGACTTCAACATCGACAAGTACAACATCGACTTCAACAACGACAAGTACAACATCGACTTCAACATCGACAAGTACAACATCGACTAGTACAATATCGACTTCAACATCGACAAGTACAACATCGACTTCAACAACGACAAGTACGACACATCGACAAGTACACACACGACACACATCGACTACAACATCGACTTCAAAGTACAACATCGACTTCAACATCGACAAGTACGACATCGACTTCAACATACAAGTACAACGATCGACTTCAACATCGACAAGTACAACATCGACTTTCAACAACGACAAGTACAACATCGACTTCAACAACGACAAGTACA